CTTGAATCTTCTCTCTTCTTAACTCCTGATCCCCCACCCCCTGCCTCCACCCCGAATGCTGGGATTACAAGCATGTGCAACCACTACCAGCTAAACCTTTTCTCAGTTAATAGCCTCAATAATGAAAAAGTGATTGCTGGGCGGTGGTGGTGCACACCTTTAATCCCAGCACTTGGGAGGCAGAGGCAGGCGGATCTCTATGAGTTCGAGGCCAGCCTGGTCTCTAAAGTGAGTTCCAGGAAAGGCGCGAAGCTACACAGAGAAACCCTGTCTTGAAAAACCAAAAAAAAAAAAAAAAAAAGTGATCAACACGTGGCTAAATGCCCCCCATTAGACCCTTCAGAGAAAGACTTCGGGAAGAACTTTTACAAGTCATGTGTCTGGAATATCAAAGATAAGTTAATTTCTCTTGACTTCAAGTCACAATAGCAACTAATCTGAGGGAATACGGTTTAGCATTTAAGGGCACGACCCCTGCCATGACCACCCCAGTTTGAATCCCAAGTATGTCACTTACTGACCATGCAATCTTAAGCCAAGCTCTGTGTGCTTCAGTCTCTTCCCCACCCCCACCCCGCATGGTTTGTAAACTGGGTTAGAACTGGGCCTGGCACACAGAGTGCTGTAGAAGTATTTAACTGGAGCATTTATAAGGTTTTTAAAACACAAGTGCATGCCTCTTCCAGTTGCATGCACAGACATCGATTCTAGATCTTTCCAAAAGAGGAAAAGATTTTCCAAGTATACCACAGAAACGAAAGAAATCTGATCTCTAGTGACCTCCCGGAACACTGAACAATGTCATGGCCCTTACTCAGCAGCAACAATTTCATGCAGCCTTCTAATGAGTCTGTTTTCCTCATCTCTTACCCTGGAGAAACCTAGCTTGGGCAAAGGTAGGCATTCCAGCCAGCCAAGGGCAGAGAGAAAGCCTTCTTCGTCTGTGGGTTTTGCAGCCAGGAATTTACCACCTACAAGTAGAAAATACTTGAGAACTTTGTTTTTATTCAGTATGTATAGTTATTGCCCCTAAACAATGTAGCATAACAAATATTCATATGGCATTTGCAATATATTAGGTATTATAATCTAGAAATGATTTAAAGTATATGGGAAGATGTGCATGGAGCATATGAAAGCATCACATCCTCTATATTAGGGCTTTGAGCATTCCCAGATTTTTGGAATGTGGTGAGGTTCTGGAGTCAATCCCTTAGGGATACCAAAAGACAACTGTATAATTTATATTCTATGCCTATGATGTTTTCTATTTGTATATGGAACAGGTATGGAGGAAAGTCTCCAGCCAGCACTTTACTTCATCCAAAGAAACATATCTCATTTTCTATGTTACAGTGACTTTTTTTAATTGTTATTTTTTGTTTTGTTTTTACAAGACAGGGTTTCCCTATGTAGCCCTGGCTGTCCTGGAACTCACTCTGTAGATCAGGCTGGTCTCTAACTCTGAGATCTGCCTGCCTCTACCTCCCGAGTGCTGGGATTAAAATTGTGCCTCACAGCCGGGCGGTGGTGGTGCACGCCTTTAATCCCAGCACTCGGGAGGCAGAGCCAGGCGGATCTCTGTGAGTTCGAGGCCAGCCTGGTCTCCAAAGCGAGTTCCAGGAAAGGCGCAAAGCTACACAGAGAAACCCTGTCTCGAAAAACCAAAAAAAAAAAAAAAAAAAAAAAAAAAAAAAAAATTGTGCCTCACACCTGGCTCTCAAATGACTTATTTTTAAATAACCTAAGCCCTGAAGGTTACATTACTCCCAGTTAAGATGGAGGTACCTAAGTATCTCTGTGAATGAAATTAACACCAACATACATTTAGAAAAACATCTTCAGTGTCAGGGTAACTTTAGCTTTTCTTCAAAAAGGAAATAAACTTGCCACGACAGATGAACATCACTGCAGTTGGTGAGGAAGCATTTTGACTGTAGAAGGTCGTGTGCTTTGTGTGGTGATACACACCTGTAATTCCAGCACTTGGGAGGCAGAGGCAGGAGGATCAGGGGTTCAAGGCCATCATTAGCTATAAAATGAATTGGAAGTCAGCCTGGGCTACTTAAGACCTTACTTCAGAAAATAAGATTTCAGAGAAGAGGCAGAACAGGCAGGATACACTGAACTCCGAAGCTATCATTTCTTCCTCCCTGGGTAGAGTGCGACCTGGAAAGTCCGTCACACTCCAGGGTTGGGCACTCAGCCGCTGCTTCAAGATCTACAGTTACTGGAGCCAAAAAGATGGGGCAGACTTATGGAAATAACTTCTCAAACTCTAAACTGAAATAGTCTTCACACAGAAGCCCCAAGACTGATGACACAGTGAGAAGAAAGATCTAGAATTAAGCTTTTCTAAATGTGCCAGACTAAGTTCCTTTAAGACAATTTCCATTCCTAATGAGGAAAAAAAAAAATGCATGCAAGCAGGGCCTTTGTTCATTTTCTTAAAGAAAACAAAAAACAAACTAAAAAACCCCAAACACTCAGACACTAAGCTCAAATCAAGTTTTCCTGAAACCAATCAAGATAAAATTTTGAGTTCATCTTTCTAGAGCACAGATTAATATGAAGGTTCCAAGTTGACTTTTCCCTAAGAGCTGAACCATTCACGTCCAATCTCTATAAATTCTTTTGTCTACGTTGTCAAGCTGCCTTACCCTGTTTTGAAAAATAGTCAGCTCTTTTTTCTTCCAAGTTAAAGTTATGATAACTTCACCGAAGTTTCTGTCAACTGGTGTTTAAAACTTTTAAATTACCGTTTTATTCACACTGTGATCCCCAAAGCTAGGAACTGGTGACCTGGTCACTGTGAGGCTCCACTTGCTACTCCAATATTTCTTCATAGCCTCATTCTGTCCACCACGGACAAAGGCCTCACCATGGAGCACAATGAGCAGTTTGGTTCTGTTATTTCAGTGCCTGTTGCCTTAAAACTTTTATTGCTCTAGACAGCTTGGGCGACAAAAGGCTTTTGTAGGCTTGTGTCTAAAACCTTCATTTCACTGGTAACCCAGACAGTGCTGGTGCCTGACTATAAAAGCAGGGCTGTTCTTCCCAGTTCAAGACAATTTTCTCACCAACATGTATCAGCAAACATTTAAACAATGAAATGACCGGTCCCAAAGGTTTTGTTTTAAAAGACAGGGTCTATGTAGCTCCAGCTGGCCTGGAACTTGTTGAGGACCAGCCTTTCCTGGAACGCAGAGTTCTGAGTCTGCCTCAAGTGCTGGGATTAAAGGCATTTGCCACCACAATCTGCCATTTTAAAAGTGTTTCAATTCATCAGCCAAAAAAATGAAAAATATAAAAAAAATTTAACAAAATTCTACAGCTTCAGGCATTATAAATAATCTATAAAGCCCCCTAACTAGATTGGATGCAATCTGCAAAGATAAATAACAGTATGTGAACATTTTACTGGGAAAAGGCACATAAACATTAATATTTAGCAAGTTTTCCAACTGTCGATGGTTTTAATCCTAAATTCTCTCTAGCCACAAGCAATGGCTGAACATAAAGGATTAGGAAGTAAATCTTTTGAGGGTAGGTCAGCTGCTTTTACTAGTGTTTTCTGAGCTCTCTCTCCATATACATTTCCAATAAATGCTGTCAGATTGTATGACTTCATCCCATCACCTCTCTCTCCGTTAACATTTTAAATAGCAATTGCTATGAAGTAGGACTGACCAACCTTACCGTTCCTAACACTGGATGAACCAACCTGAGGAAGGTTGTTACAAAACGAAGAGGGGCCCCCAAGCATTGGTTAGTCCACCCTAATTTGAGTAGGATTTTATTTTAAAGAAAGGGTGTCGGGGTTGGGGATTTAGCTCAGTGGTAGAGCACTTTCCTAGCAAGCACAAGGCCCTGGGTTTGATCCTCAGCTAAAAAAAAAAAAAAAAAAAAAAGGGTCTCATGTAGCCCAAGGTAGCCTTAAACTATGTATCCAAATATGACCTTGAACTTCGGATCCTCCCGCCTCTACCCTGAATGCTGGGACTAGAGGCATGCATGTACCACTTATATTTATAGGGTGCTGGGGATCAAACCCATGGCTTTTGCATGCTAGGCAAACAATCTACCAAGCTACACCCCAGCTCTGGCAAACCCTTGACCAGCCAGCAGAGCCCCAGCCTTCCACTATTCCTGTGAATGGAGTCAGATATTCCTTCTTCATGAGCATGTATTACCTAACTCCAGCCACAGACTTCTAGCAAAGGTTTAAAACAAAGACCACACAATAGGCATTTTTAATTTTAAAGAATTTTAATACAAACTTAATATAAACTATTTCAGTCCCTCTTAACATGTAAGACACTGACTCAAAATACTTTTATACCGTTTTTTTTCAAGTATTGCACAATATAGGTACAAAATTAATATTTACGATTACATTTTCTTCCATAATATATAGCAAAAATCTTTAAACCTTTAACAGAAAATACATTTTTTTGAAAAAGCAAATATTCGTACATTTTAATTCCACCACTAAAGGAATATCCTGTACACAATTTCAGAATAGTTGATGTCTTTAAGATGGATATTTTACAATTTCAGTAAAAAAAATACAACATGAAGCTGCTATCACAGATCACTATAGTAAAAAGATAGAAATGCAATACCGTGTCGTAGAAACAATATATATATCCTCTGATATTTTACAAACTTTGTACTAAATTAAATTATACAATTAGAAAAGACCAATAAACCCACTTATTAGTGCCAATTTTTTATATAAAAAAAAAAAATCAGCCATGTCCTTGCTATATCTTAAATACTGTAAGAGGCAATATCTGAGAGTATACTTTAAAATATACAGTCAGTATAAAATAACTTTGTGCTTGGTTGGCAAATGAAAAATGATGCATGTTTTATTTTGTAACCAAGCTTGAATGTATCCTTACTATAAGCTTTAAAAAAAAAAAAAAATCTCAAGGAGGCAAAAAAAAAAAAAATTCCCCCCTTGGGCCGATGCATTTTAACTTGTACGATACATGTTCTCTCTTTTGTTTTTGTTTTTTTTTTTAGTTAGCCATAACAGGCTGGAATTGCTGGTTAGAATACTGCATGTTATTTAAGCTAAAATTCAAGCCATCTACGAAAGACTTCTCGTTGAGGCCTCCGTAGGCCGCAAACACATCAAAGGCATTACTGTACTGGAGAGGACTGAGGTTAAGGGGGCTGTCACCTGGGAACATTCCATTGGTACTACTACCTTGACCCTGCATATTAGGAAAAATGAATTCCTTGGCATTGGGAGACAGAGCAGAGGTTTGCTGCTGCTGCTGTGGAGGTGGTGGTGGAGGCGGCGGCTGGGATGGCTGCTGCTGCTGCTGTGGCTGAGGCTGGCTGCCCAGGCCCAGCCCATACAGAGAGTGCATTGAGGAAGAGATGGCTTTCTGCTTCAGGAGGTCGTTCACATTCAGGCCGAGGTTGATGGGAGAAGTACGCGCTACCTTGCTGCTACGCCCACTGTTCTTCATTTTGGTGGAGCCGAACTTGGTGGCAGCAAATGTGGCCGTGGTAAAGGTTAAAGGCTGAGTGGACCGGGGCATGAAGGTAGGGCTGACAGCAGCAGAGTGACCAAAGGGAGGCGATGGAGAGCTGGACACTGAGGAGGCTGGGTCACTTATGGGCATGAAAACCTGGGCCTCTGGGTTAAAGCTGTTTTTGATCTCCTTATCCAGCTCACATCCATTTTCATTATTGTCATCCACATAGAGCACCTTCACTGGTCCCTTTTCACCAATTTGGTAGGAAACCTCAAATGGGTCGATCCAAACGCTAAGATCCTGTGGCAGATTGCCACGAACATCATCAATGTCCAAACCACTCTCTTTGGACGCTTGTTCAATCACTGGGTCCACTTTCTCCCCTACATGTATACATCTAAACCCTGATCCTTTGTATGGCTTTTCAGGATACCAGTGCCCTTCATATTTCTTCTTAAGAAGTCTTTCAAGCTCTTCACCAAAAATGTTGACACGTCTCCTGGGAAGCTTATTGTACAAGTATGAAATGATAAAATTTAGTGCTACTTGGATTTCAAGCTGCATAGCTGCGTTGCCACAAAAGTTAGGTTTGTTTCAACTCCTCCACCAGAAAAATAAAATTTTAAAAAATCAGTTTGTGGCAGAGAAACAAATTCTCATTCAAAGCGCTGGTATTAGTAGATTTATCCTTCAACCTTTCGTGGTCTTGTTCCTTTAAGAAAACAAAACAAAAGCAAAGACGTCCAAATAAGATCAATGTAGTAGCTCCAAAGCTTTTTACCCAAAGCAATTTCACTTTTGAAAATGTCTTTTGAAAATGTTCTAGCCAGGCTAGAAAACCTGGAAAATATCACTGCAAAATAAAGGGACAGACAGGAAAAAAATAAAAAATAAAATAAAATCACTGAATTGAAAAACGATTCACAGGTAAAACAGCATTTTAAGCTACTGTATACTGCTTCCCAGCAGAATTTAAGGCACCTCCAGATTATGTACCTTCCTTTCTCTCAACTGTCCCAGTGTGTACGAGGAGCTGTGTACTGCGCTCACCCACCCACATACACACTCCACTTTACAAGTTGGTCATTAGTTTTCTCGCTATTCACCATTTTAGAATTGACTCTTTTATCTTAGTTCATTTTGGTAACATCACATTTAAATTTGTTCTATGTTAAATATCTGGGAATGTTGTAAGTTACAAAAATTATTTTTAATTTTCAAAGTACATGATGCTAAAATTAAAGGTCCTAAATGAACTGTCACCTTGGTAAATGATAGAAACCAAATTATCTCCTATAGTTTTAACTATGCCAAGGACACTCACATAACTGCTCTTTCAGAGCCTTTTTCTTTTTATTGTGTATTGTCCCCCCCCCCACCCCCTTCTCATTCTGAAATTCCTCTCAGCTGCAAGGATAAGAAAAACAAGCAGCTTAAAACTCTTATTGATTACTCTGTTTAAAGGGCAAGGTTTCTCAGTTTTATTCTAATTAAAAAAACAAAAACAAAAGCAAACAAACAAAAAACACCTCCTTCCCTCTCCGGATAAAACGAACAGCCCCTAGAGAGGCTTGTACGATAAGGTCGACCTTTAAACGTTTGCTGGATCAGCACTGGGTGGGGATAAGAAAAGATCAAGGGCAAACAGAGGTATTTCCAAGGGAGAGCTATTTGTATACCGAGGTTGATCAAAAGGGGCATTTAAAACAATCAAGCTGGTGTTAATCCGTCTGTTCCATTTTCCATATTCTTGGTGACAAAGGGCAAAGAATCTTTCGTGTTGCCCCCAAACTACACTTTCCAAGCCGAAAGCCGAGTGCCGGCAGAGAGCGCAGATTCAGCTGGATTGCTTAAAGGTGCAGCCGAGCCCAGGCAGGCTGGGTGGAAGGTAGTTTTTAAAGCAACGCCTTAAGACAGGACTGTGAAGAATTACATAAACAGCCAGTTGGGTCTCATTAGATTTCTGCTCACAGCGCCGGGAGCCCGAGCGCTACGGCAGCAGAAACAGCCAGAGGAGGTGGAGGAGGAGGAAGACTACTAGCCTTGCTCGGGGAGGAGGAGCTCGGCCCCGGGAAATGGAGAGCAGGCTCTGCGGCCGCCCCGAGGACGCGGCCCCCGACACCGGCAGGTCGCGGCGCGGGCCGCCCTGCCATCCCCTCCCCCGCCGTAACCTGACCCTGCCTTCCCCCCCTCCGCTCCCCGCTCGAGGCTCCTGGGACCCGGCCAGCATCCCAGAGCACCGGTCCCGGCCCGATCCCAGTACTCCGGCGCCCCCTCCCCCCTGCCCGGGCGCCGCTCGCTCCCCACCGCCGGTGTTCCCTCCTCCCGGTCGCCCTCCCGTCCGCCGAGCCTCGGGGCCGGGCCCCCCGGAGCCACTCCATTCCCTCGGGTCCCCGCGGCCGTCCCTCCGCACCCGGGCTCGCAGGGCGCTGCAGCCCCTCCCTCGGCCCCCGAGCCGCCGCCCCGCCGTACTTACAGGCTGCTCCGGGGCTGCGGCCGCCGCCGAGCCGCGGCTGGGCGGGGGAGAAGGGGCGGCGGGCGGGGGCGCGGGTGGGTCGGGAGCGGCGAGGCGGCCGGGTGCAAGACGTCGCCACCGCCGGACGCGCGACGGACGCTTCGGGCGGGCCCGGGAGCTCGCTGCTCTGGCTCTGGGGTGGAGGCGGGGGGGACGACAGGCTCAGACGAGCGCGCTCGCTTCTCCACACAGCCCGGCGGCCCGGCCCTGCGTCCCCGTACAGCGCCCTCTGCGCGCCGGGCCAGAGCTTCGCTCCTTCTGCCGCGGCGCGCGCCCCGCCTCTCGTTTTATAGCCTCCTCCCCGCCCCCAGCCTCCGCGGGGGTGCGCGCCGCTCGCGTCACAGTCCCGCCCTCCCCACCCCTCACCCCGGGGCCGCGCCGACCCCGCCCCTGCCCTGCCCCCCCGACGCCATTGGCCAAGTCCCGCCGGCCCACGTCCCGACGGCCGCCGGGGGTGGGGTGGGGGGGTGGCCACGCCCCCCAGGCAGCTCGACGACCAATGAGCCGACCATTCCGAGAGGCCCGGGGCGGGGTTAAGGGGGGACCTTGGAACGGGATTGGAGGAGGGCTGTAGGGGGTGGGGCGGCTGGGCGCCGGGGACTGAGGGGGAGGGGAGCGGAGCAGGTGGCGGCGCGGCGGGGGCCGGCCGCGAGGCGAGGCCGGGGTTCGGGGAGGGAGGGCAGAGAACACGGAAAAGGCTGCTTCCGAGTGAGACTGGGGCCGAGGAGAACCCAACTCCCAGGCGAGCTGTCCTGTGGGTCTCCAGCCCACCCCCGGGTGACCCGGACTCGTGCGCCCGACTCATTGAGTATTAATCCCCGCAGGGCCTAGGCCAACCGCCACCCCGAGAGTGACAACTGCAGAACCTGGGGGCGGGGAAGGAAGGCCACCTCGCTGCACCTCCCGCCCAGGTGACAGTTTAACTGCCTCCGTAGCCCCCCCCCCCGCCCCCCCCCCGGTCAGACCTCCCCGGGTCACCTAGCAGCAGCTTGGACATGGGGGTGGCTTGAGACCGTAAGAAACATCGTCTTATATCAAACGTCCCAGCTAGCGACACGATGCCAAACAGTTGCCTATGTGACGGCCTGTGCGCCCACGCGTGCATTTTGAGGGCTTTCACCCAGGCGCACAAAATAAACTCGGTCGGCCTTGCTGAGGAGCCTCGCGAGAGTTTTCTGAACTGTGTGCGGGTGTCTAGGGAGTGGGGACGCAAGGGACTCCAGGGGCGCGGAGAGGCGCCGTCTCCACAACCTGCAGCCCAGAAATCCGAGTTACCTCGGGGGGTGGAACGGGGCGTTCCCGGCGGCTAAAAATAATTACTCACAGGTAGCAACGATGCCTGATTGGTCGCCCTGGACGTTAGCGGCCAGACGATTGGCTGTCTGGTATCCAGGAGACGGACGTCAAACTAGGACTGGGTACAGGCGAGAGAAAGTCGAGGGGGAGCCAGGTAGGGGAGGGGGAGAAAGCGAAGCAGTGAATGAAACGCCCAAGGCCTGGCCTTCCCCTTCCCTGTCGGGCACTCGGGGCACGCTTCCTGGAAAAAACCGACCCCGGTGCTGCTGCCTTGCCCTTAACACTGCAGGACGGGCAGTTCTAAGCCTCTGTCTAGAGGTTAAACCAACTCGCCGCCTGTGTAGACCATCTGTACCACCTAGGGCACAAACCCGTGTCTTATGCGGCTTGCCAAGAGACTTTTCTTTTTTTTAATAGATGCAGAAGTCTGGATGTAGCCTTTTTTTGCACTCGGACCTGCTTGCGTGGGTTTCCACCTCCTCTTTTAGAAGGAACAGCTTTGAGAAAATAGATTTCTAAAGTCTCAAAGCGTGTGAGAAGGGGAGGGATTGTGGAATGGGCCAAGGGGTGGGGTGGGGACCGGTCAGGTGACCCATTTCTTGTTTATTGCACAGGTTCCTAAAACTTGGGCAGCGTTTTAAGAACATAGCAGTTTTACTCAGAAACGTTTTCAATTCTGTTTTATATTTAGTATTTGGGCTTTCTAGTTGCAAACAGGATGGGATTAGGTTTTGAAAACATGGCAAGTATTTAAAATTAAAGCGTCCTTCAAAATATTTTTAATATAAGTTATTTGTCTATTGTTTTCCTTGGTTGTGTGTTTTTGCTTTTCTGAAGTAAACAATTTGTCACAGAAATCAGGCGTTTTAAATTCTATAGTTAGCTGGGCACAGAAATTGCAAGGATCTAGGTAAAATATTTTGGGAATGGCTTACCAAGAGAAACACTTTATTTTTCATGTGCCCTAGAAGCATAATTTATTACCATTAGGCAAATAGTGTTACTGTACCAAATGCTCAGAATTACAGACACATGTGCTGGGCCATGTGTCTTAATTTGTAATTTGGAAAATATATCACTGTAATTAGGGAGCATATTAGGCTTGGCTGAGATTGAAATGTCTAACTAAAAATAGATGAATCACAATTTTGTTAAGCTTATCTATACTTTTCAAGAATTCTCTAGAGGAAAGGAACATTCTCTCTCTCTCTCTCTCTCTCTCTCTCTCTCTCTCTCTCTCTCTCTCTCTCTCTCTCTTTCTCTTTCCTGAATTTTTTCAGTGTACAATTGAATTGGTCCTAAAGCATTTATCTGCTGCAGACTGGTTAAATATTAGGAACAGCAGTTTAAAAATGCACGAGTTAGGTGGATATGGTGACACACACCTATAAATCCCAGCATTCAGGTTGAGACCGAAGGATCACAAGTTCAAAGCCAGCTTGGGCTACGAGGCAAGTTCCAGGCCTGCCTGAGCTGCATGTCTCCAAAATAAATAGATAAATAAAAATAAAAACAGACAAAATTGTTATGGCTTAATTCCAGAACTCTTGACAGTGAGGGCTGGGAGGTATGAGAGGGTCTCAACCCAAAAGCCCAACCATAGTGCTATACTACCACACTGAGTTTAAAATACATTTTATTCAAGTATTGCACTTTAAAGGATCCCTCCCAGCTAATTACTATTTAACATTTACTTTAGAATTCTACAGCAGTGTAGACTGCTAAATCATCACTTAAACCTATATAGATTTATAGAGATTAAAAAAAAATTGATCTGAGGCTCCAGGTAGTGTTACAATCAAGAGAGTCTTCTCAGGACCTGATGACTCAGGCCTGTAATAACAGATAATCAGGAGGATGAGGCAGGAGGATCGAAGTTCAAGGCTTGTTTGGGTTACCAAGTGAGTTCAAGGTCAACTTGGGCAACACAAGACCATGTCTCAAGACGTAAAAAAGAGCGGGGGCTGTAGCTCAGTGGTGTAAGCCACTCATGAGAGGCTGAGTCAGGAGGATAGCAAGGTGGGGGGGATTTCGAGACAGGGTTTCTCTGTGTAGCTTTGGTGCCTGTTCTGGATCTCGCTCTGTAGATCAGGCTGGCCTCGAACTCACAGAGATCCGCCTGCCTCTGCCTCCCGAGTACTGGGATTAAAGGGGTGCACCACCACTGCCCACCGAGGATAGCAAGTTTTAAGCCAGCCTGAGCTACATAATAAGACCCTATCAATAAATAAGTAAAAGAAAAATAATTGCATACTTTGGCATTGGCATGAGTCTGCTTTTCCTTTGCCTAGCATATGCAAAGACCCACGAGATTCAATCCCTAGTATCCCAAAGTCAAGAAAGGAAAGAAATATGCTCACTAGAAACCACAGCCCTCCCTTTCACATCCTCACATCTTTAAGAAATCATGGAGGGGTGTCTTATAATAAAGAGAACACTTGTTTGGTAAATATCCAATATCAATCCAATATCATAAAGTACAGTGATTTCAAGTGTCCTGAACTGTGTACACACACACACACACACACACACACACACACACACACACACACACCATCCCTATTTCTAAGAGAAAACCATCCTAAATTTTCTCTTATTCTGCTTCCCTGTAAACAGAAACAAGATACCTAGAGAACAGTCACTACCCAGAATATTCAGTAAGGGCCAGAGTGCTTGAGAATTGACCTTTTAACTTTACTAGAAAATAAAGCAACATACAAATACGTTGTTATTATTGTTACTTGTTTCTCCTTAAATAGTTCTGTAACACAAACCATAGATATAGGTTTTTAAATTAATAAGAAATCTGTATATTGGATGTGGTGGTGCACATCTAGCAGAAACTGAGGCAGAAGAATTTTGAGTTCTAAGTCTGTCTTGGCTATACAGTGAGATCCTGCCACAGACAAACAAGATTATATGTAGGAGCCAGGTATGGTGACTAGTGCCCGTAATGCTAGTACTTAGGAAGTATGGGCAGGAGAATCAGGAGGTTGAGGTAATCCTAAGGTACATAGTAAGTTAGAAGCCAGCCTGGTCCTCATGAAGCTTTACCTCAAAAAAAAAATTTATATATATATATATATATATATATATATATATATATATATATGCAAAGTGGCAGGTACCTATAATTCCAGTTCTGAGGGAGGTGAGGCATGAAGGTCCAGCTGAAGGTCAGCTTGAAGTACATATTGAGAACCTATCTTAACAAACCCAAACTACAAAGTAATCTTTAAGTTATTACCAACGAAAGCAGTTCTTTCCTAATTATTTCTCAAAGGATGGCAATGCTGTAGTGTCTGAGGAAACTTCAGTGTGGTTTTCTTCTGCCCAAGTTTGTAAAAGAGGACCCTGCATTCTCCAGAACAGACTGGCACTCAGGTATAACTTGTATATTCTAGTGTAACTATGAGATAACTAGGTAACTCTGACCAAACCTAATTATCTTTTATACAAGGAAATCCATGGAGGTAACTTAGACCAAGAGGAGAATGTCTCCATCTAACCTGCCCCCTCCTTATTATCCTGATGAGCAAAAGCCCAAACCAATTCTTGAAGTGACTTTCCATTAGCCCAAGATGAGGATTTTGATTTTGGCAAGAGATTATAGCACAGATTCCAGGAGCAGTACTGTGTTGAAGACATTCTGAGTACAAAGAACGTTTATTTAAAGTTCTCTAAGAGTGAATGTTATTAGAGTACTTTAAATACATTTTAAAGCATGGGTTGCATATGTTATTATGTAGCCTGGCTTACTAAAATTATACACAACCAATTGTGGCAGACACTGGTGCAAGCTCAATGGATTCCCACGACCCCCACCCCCCACTCCCCACCCCCCACCCCCGCCCCTCAGTCTCCTGACTGAAGAGGCTATACAAGAGCTAAGTGCATCCTCTCCCAGGCGTCACTGTAGTAGGAACAGCACTGGGACACTGTTTTACCAATGTCATGCAAA